AGGTACCCAATGAAAATTTCAAGTTTGAATTTATTCCAGTATTAACAATCCAATTCATAAAAAAACAAAAATCTTATTAGAATATTTTATTTTAGTACAAATCTGATTTTTATTGAATTTGAAATTTTACATGAGATATTTATTTTAACATAAAATTCATTTTATTTAAAAAAAATGAAATAAAAATTGTAGCAGTTTGATGTTCACTCCAAACAATTTAGGTGATTTTATGTAATCAAAACGAAATTCATAAATTATCATGGTTTGTGGGTCTATTGAAATCTAGAACATTGTTTTAATATATATATATAAAGTTAATATATATATATATATTAAAAAATCAAAATATTCATCTTTGATGATCGAAATTTAGAAATAAAAACTTCTATCTTATTGTAGATATATGATAAATAATTACATATGTTTGTAGAATTAATCCATGTTTTCACGAATTAGTTTGTTAAAATTGAGGAAGAATTTCATCAAATTTGATTCAAATTAAAAAATGGACGTATTTTTTAATTTAAATACTTTTAATTAAGTATTAATAAAATCTTATTTAAATGGATCATACTCTTATATATTTATATGCGATTATGATATAATATCTAAAAAACATAATCTTGATAATGCTTTCATACATGTCATCTCAATAAAATCTAGTACTATTTATTATTCACAAAATTTTAAATTTTATTATCTATTTTTTGTTGCTACATTAAAGTACTATATTACATATCATCCAATGTCTCATACATAAATTAAATTCAAATCACTCAAATGAATATACTTTACATTTCTTTTGAATTTTTCATCTAAAGTAATTCATAGAATCACAAATCATATTTTTATTTTATACCTTTGAAACTCTAATATAATTTTTTAGATGATACTATCATCTAAAAATATTATATGTAAATTGTATCAAAATTTTTAATTCCATTATTTAAGTTGATCACCTTTCTTTCACAAAATGTCCGACAATTTTTACTCCATGTAAACTACATTGTTGTTTTAAAAAATTCTTTTTTCAAAATCTTATATAATATTTTTTTTTCCTGAATTGGTTTAATCTCATAATGTTTTTTACATGTAATGAATGTTTTAAACTTATCGTTATCATTATTACATGTATATTTATTCAATGTGTTAGAATTTGAAATAAAAATAATACCATGTGTGTATTCATCAATATGTATAATATATATTTAAATTTTTTTCATTTTTTTAAAAAATTTTACAAATAATTTTCATATATATAAATTTTGCATGTGCATAAATATTAATAGAATTATTTCTATATCTCAAGGTTGATAATATAATTAGAGAGCTTTTCAAAAAAAATACGAATGCAACGTTTCAAATTATAAATGAAAATTGTGTATAAATTATTTAAATAAAAGGTCGAAAATTTTGTAATGATTTTAAATCTAATAAGTTTTATAAATGAGTTTTAAAAATCACGAAGATTAAATGATTAAAAACAACAATAATTTCCTGTATATTGAATATCAAATCTCAATAAAATCATGATTAGAAAAAGTATATAAAAAAATCATATCTATTTATAAAATAAAATTTTTTACGTTATCATTTCAAACTTTAATTCTATCTAAAATAAAAAAAACAAAATTTTTAAATTTTTAATCATAGTTCGAAATTAAAAAATTTATTGAGTATAAAATTAAAACCCACAGAAAAATTTGTGAGATAAAGTTTTCATTATATATTCAAAAAATAAAATTATATATAATATTTTCTATGTACTATTTAAACGATAATTACATAAAAACTTGAATTTTCCTTTCAATATAACAGATTCAAGTTTAACATAAAACAGATAACATCAAATTTTGTGGAAAAAACAGAAATTTTTTTAAAAATCATTTCTAAACATAGTTGTGAAAAAACTAAATTCTTTCGAACCAGATTAAAATCATGTTCTTATGTGTCAATTGAGTTATAAAATAAAAGATTTATAAATAAATTCAATCATCACTATAATAAGTTTAATTTCAAGAATTTCGAATTAGTCTAATATTTAAATCAGTCCATCAATAAAAAAACGAAGCACTACCACAGTAAATGGCTAACTTGGAAAGGCGTTCGACATCAGCCGGCTCGGAGATCGATTATGGCTCGTCCCGCAGTACCATGCACTGCGTCCAATCAAGCATGTCCGAAAACAAAGAGTGTCAGCGAGGTCAGTATCGAATCCTCAGGAGTGTGCTGTTCTCGGCCTTCGCAAGAAAGTATGAAAATTGTAAATGTGCCGAAATAGTGCAGCCACTCTGTTCCTGTATCCTCGTTGACTAAATGTTTCGAGAATACAGCGATATGCTCGACTGTATCCACTGTACCGATTGGTACAGTGGATACAAAGAGTGTCAGCGGTGTCGAATTTTAGAGCCTTCATTTCGAGAAGTGTTGGTGTTCAGAAACCCGAAGAGATTCGAATCACTCTTAAAGGTGTCAACTCGGAACATCCACTACTTCGATCTAGGCTTTGCGTCTAGACATTGTCATATGTGTATAACGTCAACAGCATGATAAAGCGATTCACTGCTTAGATTTCACAGCACATGGCCCGAATTACATCGATGAAAAGCCCGTCCCAACAATTGACTCGCTCGAGGCACAGAATCCAAGTTTCTCCATTAATCCGAACACCGATCGAACGTGTGTTCTTTACCAACTTCTATGGCTTTTTCATGCTTTCGTTTCGTCCCGTGCATCAAATGCTTATTGAGAGTACAGGCCGCGAACTATTAAACAGTGGAGGATTTTCTGATTCCGCTGAGCTCTCTTCGACCTCACTCCATTAGAGGTTCCTCAGTTTGTGATCTCCATAGGCTCGAGTTGTTCCATAACATTCGAGCTGGACCGGATGAGCCTCTGTTCGTCCTATTGTGTGAGGTCCTAATCATCTACATGCCTTCATCATTTAATGCCCGGGCTTCATAGATCTCGTCAGCATGCAACGGAAAGACTCGAGCCCTCTTGCAATCATGACCTCCTTTAATATACCGAGTCACCTTCATGAAACGACACATGACCAGCTGAATCATCAGTGTCCTCAGCGGAGTTACCTCACATCATTGCCGGCAAGTCTCGAATCTCGTTACATTGCAAGGATAGCTGCTAAGCTCCGTTGAACAGTACAAAGCATCCGAATTCACTGCAAGCGGAAGTAAAATTTGGAACTGTAGATGGGCATAAGAAAGTCACCTGGAAGTGTCCTCCACGACAAGCTCTCTGCGGAGCCCGAGACGAATCGTGTGGGAAGGTTCAACACGAACTGAAAACGAGGTGAGGGCCACCGTCCTCATCTCATGCGACGATCATCTCCTCAACTCTCAGAGTACTCCCGAAGCCACAAACCTGCTCGAGCAAAAACTGCACCTACCGTCCCCGGACTCAGCCGCAATTCTCTACAATCTGCCTCGGGTTTGTTCAGCCCGATGACTTGACAAGCGAAAACATTCGTTTGACCAGTTCTGCTGCTTCAAGAATGCCTGATCTCGGGCTGCACGGCAGGTCTAGTCGCGATAACCCTAAGCAGATAAAGGCGGTGGGAGAGGAAATACGACCTTCTGATGCAGCAGTTTCTCGATTCTGGACCTTGAGGACGATCTCCAAGACAGAGAGAGTCGAGCTGAGGCGACTGTCGTGATGTACACTGAAGTGTTACCTGATTTTAGCTTGCGTCAACTTGGCAGAACAGCAAGAACAGCGAAGGACAGCGATGCGTCATGAACACTGTGCTTCACATGACTTCCTGCTAGCTGATAGAAGTTTCAGTCCTTACATACATGCTACATTCAAGGGTTTGGTGAGCAGGTTCAACCGTCTTTGACGCTGAAGGTCGACCCAGAGCCAAAACTGAAGTCATATGTGCCGTTTTTTTCTATTTGAGTGCAGAGGTGGAACTGACTGGGCATGGAGATACTCGACTCGGTTATGCTGGCGTTCAGATAGAACTCTCCACACGACCAAGTCTGCAGTTCTGCCAAGTGAGATCACTATGCAAACTTCAACCTGCAATTGTTTGCTCTAGTAGGATTGGCTTGCAAAATTTGAGCAGAACGTGAATGGCATTCAGAATTAGAGCAATGCATGATGCCGTGCACAGAGAAAATGGAACGGGTATTAGTAGTGAAGAACGAAGCAGTTTTCTAACTATCACAGGCGGAGCAGAGTGACCCCAAGCAAGCATGAATCAATTTTCCGTCGTGTCTTAGTCTGAGAAGAAGATCAAAAGCAGGGGTTCATCCAGTGTTGGACTACCAAATGATCATACATTCAGCACTCTCATTGCTTGCCCAGTGGTCCCCATTAGTGATTATCCTCTGCATTCTGTGCAAACTGACCGAAGGAAGAAAAATGCACCGTAAGTTAAGGATCAACAACGTAATTTGAGATCTTCAGGCACGTCACACGGGTGCATTCCGAAAAACTGTTCTTCAAGTGGAATAAACAACAGAATGTAGACGTAACTTGCACGCTGTGAGTATACTTCTGGCCCTTTGTCAAGCATTCTGTACAAGTAGAGTTCAATGCTGTAAGACAGACTATTATTTCTTGCTGGGTGTGGAAATCTCCTCCCGATTCTGGGGAAAGTTTCGATAATAATCGTTATCTCCCTAGACTGGGATTGAGCGAAGTTATCATTTATTTCATTCAACTGCCCATGAAGAAACCACCAGCGGGATCATCTTCATTCTTTGATTGTAAAGCCCCAATGCCTTGCTACTGGGCAGAGCCGGGAAAAAATGTATCTATCTTAGATTCGTGCTTGCACTGTTCTTCCTACATAACGCTACTCTCTGTACAACGCCTTAGAAAGATGGGAAAATCCCGTCACACTTTGCTGACACCATCTTAACTGGATTATATTACTCCCGAGTATTCCCTGACTAGTTGTATGATGCCCATGATAAAAAAATTATCACATCCGACAGAAGAACACAACAAGAGAAGTGAGAAATGTTTGCTAAAAATCGCGTCGTATAGCGTCTACCCAACAGGGATTGAACTGCTTCAAGTTTGCCAGTATTTTACAAACTCGTTCTGAACACCAGATAGACATGAAGTATTATTTGAAAATGGTAGCACAACACCGAACTAGAACTCTCCTAGAACTTGCATGGTGTATCATTACATCAACTTTTTCGCAGTAAGCAATTGTAATGGACAATTAAGAGCAAACTTTCTGCTGTCTCCTACTATCTTTCTGATGGTCACCTTTACGTTGTCTGAAATTCTGTTGATCAATGCCGCGAACTGCAATGTACCTCAGGCTTGGCAAAAATCACCAAGGTGCCGTGTGCAGTAGTTGCAGCAATCAAGAACCCCAACAAGCTAGGTGCGCAAGAACAAGTAAAGTATGATACTTCACAAGCTGCTGCTACAAGCGGTACATATAGAGAGAAGTAGATTTTTAAACTAACCCTCGTCCTACCTCCTCTGTTTGTCTCTGGATTATGAGAATGATTGCAAGCTACAACCGTCCAACCTCTCTTGGAGCTTTGCTGCGAATCTAGTCTGCCTTTTACAAACCATGTATAGTACAGAAGTTGAAGAGTGGTTTGCCTGTGTACTTTGTAGAGCAGACAATGCCATTATGGTAAACCATTATCGTAAAAAATTCCTAACGTCTGATGTACACGAAACGCATGTCAATGCTTAGCTAGCAGCCGCCATGTACTCTCGGACGACAGGATGCGTAGCATTTGCAAGGTCACTCGGTTTCAAAACTTCTAGAACTTCTCCATTTGCTACCAAACAGACCACATCCGCAAGTCGACGAACCTGTTCAAGACTATGCGATACGAAAACCACCGTGAGGCCCCGGTTGCGGTTCAAGTCTAACACAGATTCCTCAATGTGCTTCGTAGAGACTGGATCTAACGCACTTGTTGGCTCGTCTAGCAAGAGTATCTGCACAGGAAACAGGTGAAGAGCAAGTATGGATACAAAGCTTGAAGTACACAAGACTTTCAGTAAATTGCGTCACATAACACAGCTAGCGAGAACGAAAAGAGTAGAGTGTTCGTACCTCCGGTTCATTTGCAAGAGTGCGTGCGAGTGCCACTCGCTGCGCTTGGCCGACCGAAAGCCCGATCACAGACTTAGAGCCAAATGTTGGATCCAAGTCAGCTGCTTTTAAAAGTTCCTCAACCCTCTTGTCTGTTAGTTTCTCCCCTGCCAGACTGGGCCCGTACCGTATATTCTCTGCCACCGTGCCTGCAATGATAACCAACCAACATTCTACATTGAGCACTAGGCAGCAATAAGGAAAAGCGCAGGTCTCGAAAGAAGGGCAGGATTCTCACCAGTCACCATGGATACCACGATTCCTCTACTACACATCTACAATCAATGCGGGTCCTTGGAATATTCCTATTTACTTATTTTTATTAATTTACTCTGATCAAACGGCCCCGACCATGAAATCCTTTTGCAATTCGATGCATTAGATGTCACAAAGTGAAGAGGTCAGATAGTCAACACACCCACGTTACCAATACCATTGATGAAGTGTTCATGGGACATCTATACAGGAGAAGTGGTTGTATAATTGGATCTCAGTGTAGTGTGCGTTCTTTAATGTGATTGTAAGATAAATCTGCTCGCAAACGCTATTGGGCGGAAAGGGCACACTGAAAAGAAAAAAGGAAATCAAAGGGCTAAGTGATGAAATGGTTGAAAAGACAAAGTAAATGACTAGAGAAAGAGTCTCTATGACAGGCACAACTCGTACCATCGAATAATGTTGGAGTCTGGAAAAGCATTCCACAGCGTCGCCTCACGGATACCACGCTCTGTTTTGTAATGTCTTCGCCGTCAACAAATATTGTTCCGGAGGGAGGTTCCCATAGACGATTGATAGCACGCAATATAGTTGACTTTCCACTCCCACTTGGACCAATAATCCCCACGATTTGTCCTGCTCCGATTTGTAGAGAAACACTCATAAGAATCCGAACCCCCTCGTCGGAGAACCTGTCCAGACCTTGAATGCTGATTTTCGCATGCGTTACTTTTTCTTCGGTAGCTGGTATGGAGAGAAGGTGCTCTCTTGACTCGTCCTCTCCTCCTGCCAATACCAAAACTCAGCACTTAGCAAGAAACAAGCTGCGATGAACAAGAGAACACTAGATCTGATTTGATGATCTTAGGACGTCGACCATAATTCTGTTTAACTTGAACCGACCAGTTTTTCGGATCACAGCGGAGCAACAGAAGGGAGCAAAAGAGCACTTGCGTGCAGACAGATCTGTTCTTGCAGCAGTTTCTGAATGCGGGAATGATTGGGCGTATCACTTTTCCCCTACTCGCCCATCCGCCCAATTTTTTGTTTATCTTCAAACTGACCATTGAATGGCCTTCACACTCCGAAGAGTGCATGTAATAATCAGAGAAACGACGTTTGAGGTATTCTTCGTCTAGATGTTTGCAGATTTGCAGATTGTTTTCTGTCCATCGCGCGTACTCAAACTGATAGACAGACTGAAGAACAAATCACGACCGAGGAACGATGGATAACCGACAAAACGCAGACTCCAACCTCTGCAGTTGCGGATTTAAGACTCTCAGTTACTGTCGACTGTGAAAATTTCACCGTTGACGCATTGCACGAGCTGGTGCAGCTGGTAACTCACAGCTTGAATGCTTGGCCAAAGCATGACATTTATGGTGTTCAGCCATGCTAAGAAAGAAACGAAGGCAGATGCCACTGGTGTGAATCCTCCAGCCGTTTCTCGGTAGCTACGATCACCGGCGTTTCTTCCACGGACTACGTGCAACTATAATCGTGATTACAAATTTCAGCAGAAGCGGACTGTGGAAACACGGAGATGCAGACAGCAGGCAAACGATTCTGCTGAAAGACCAAAATTCCGATGAGACCGAAGGCTCTTATTTCCTACACCCCGTGACATCACCAACCATCCGAATCTTCGCAGGAAAGCGAGCAATTCAAAATGAGTGCCGTCGCCCGAAGGAGTCCGATCCCTCGCGATTTACCGTCGCTCGAGCGCGTGCCGAGCTAAAAGTCGGGTCCAAAAGAGCAACAAAAAATCCAACCATGCACAGAAAGGAACGAAAAAAGCAGATAGTGCGCAACGAATGCAGATTAGAGTAAGAGGCAAGACCTAATACTCGAATCGCCATCTAGAAGGTTGAAGATGTGATTGTCAGAGACGAGAATGTCAAATCGTGCTCTTCAAATTTCATTTTAAGGAGCTTGAATTTGGAGGAGCTCGAGACCGAGCGAGCGAGCGAGCGAACATTCAGAACGACACGGAGTTCAAGATGTCACAGGGATGGCCCGAGCCCGAATATACCTGCTCAGCACCTCTCCCCATCCATACAAGCTGCCGCTCGACATGTACTCCAGGTACTTGCGTCGAGTCTTCTCCATATCTCTCTCCCTGCCTCCCTCTGCCTGCCTCCCTCCCGCCCCCTCACTCGATCGACGCAGCGCGAGCTCGCCGCCGCGCATTTCGATGTTGATGGACCCTTCCTCTTCTTCTTCGCCCTCGGCCACCACCACCAGCACCACCATCCATAGGCCCTCAATGCGGCCGTTCTATCTAGATTGTTCCGCCCCGGGTAAAAGACCCCCTCGCAGGAGAGTTACCGTGGCGTGGTTCGACCGTACGGCCACATGCCCGCGCGTGCCCGGCTGCCGGGACGCGTGTGCCGTTGCGTCCTGGCTGCAACAGTCGTCGCCCACCGGGGTTCGAACTTTTGTTTGAACCGTCTCCCGACGCGCGCCCTCCCGTAGGCCCCTATGTTTAGACGCCCCTACGCGCGTGCCTACGTGTAGCCTGGCGATACTAGGCCCCAGGATTCCAGGATAGTGCCGGTGTACGTAGCCCAGTACTTTCCCTACGACGGTGTACCTCGCTCAGGTCCTCCTCCCGGCCCACCCGGCCCGGTCAGCCTGCCTGCGCTATCCCCACGCGCGAGAATCGGATCTGCGGTACCCCGGCTGTACGTTGCGCAACCGGTTCCTCGCAGCCTGAGACGGACCGGACCATCCCGGAATTCCGGTCGCCTCACCGAATGCACTCTGCGAGAGGCGATCGCATCGCGTGTTTCTGTACCGGCGCAGATATGGCTCCTCTTCATGGGACCCCGGTCGGCACTGAGTAGGTCCTTCTTGTTCTCGGCCACTTTGGATTTCTGGATTCAATTTTTGCTTCCACGACGATAAATGTGGACAGGTTTCAAGCTGTCAAATGTATCCTCAGTTCCATTTTTCAGGCTTTAACCTTCACGATGTTACGAGCGTAATTTCTGGAGGGTGTAGGTCTAATCGATAGTAACTAAAATTAATGATAATAAATTTTAATGATCTAAAAGTACGAATAAGTATTATCAAACTGTAGTAGATGTTACCTTCAGGATTGAACTCTACTTCTAGTACTTCCGGTTTATATACATGAGAAAATCGATCCGGAGACGAAAATGACCCCAAATTGACTTTCATTGTAATTTATCAAATACTCTCCATAGACTATGTCAGTCTAGATAAACACATTCGATAGAATTTTCCATTTATCAAATTGAGATGCAAAATCTAATATAAATAAATTACAAACTTCATATTGTACATCTAAAGAGCATTAGGATTCCAGAACGGAGCTGTAGTTTTCTTTGTACATACACTCGTTCTGCTAAGTACCTCATGTCCGGGTTAGATAGGTTTCACACTCTATGGATAGAGAACTAAAAATCGACACAGCTGGATTAGCAGAATCAGTTTATGGATATGGTGATCAGACGGTCAGCATTATTCATGTTGCTTCAGTCCCTAAAGTGTCTGGTAGTCAATAACTGATCATGTCGACACAGCGACTCAGAACATCTGGCTCAACACCAGTGTCAGAACTTTACGGTTCCACCCTCATGGGCGGCAAACAAAAGAAATGCATCACTTCCCATTACACCTACAGAACCTGAAATCCCCATGGCCACCAAGTGGATGTCACATAAGGCAATCAATTAGCATCAGTATCTCAAATGAGTAGAAGAGAGTTCGCGTTATTTTTTCCTCTTCCATGTGCAATATATGAATAAATAAATATATTGCAGTGTTTCAGCTAAACAACTTGATTTTCTATTTACGCATTCTTTCATTCGTTTCATTGTCGATGATTTCTTATAACAGTGGTGGCATTGCGCTGAATACAACTCAAATGATTCAAATCTGCGTCTTGGCAGCAAAACAAACAAACTGACAAAACAAACTCGTTATTGTCTGGCTAATGTTCGTTGAGAGCACAGAGCAAGGAAAATGTGCAAGTTTGGTCTACGCTGCGAAATTTGCAGGAGAACTTGGCAGCTGACCTGTCCCAATAGGTCGCTCGAGGGAATAATCAATGCATTCACCTCAGACTCTTTTGTGTCATTAATAAAAGACACAAAAGCTTCTACTCTGGATATCGATGTAACCAGCAGAGGAACACCATTCTCGGTGTTGGACGATGTCCAACACCGAGAGTGTCAATAACTAGCAGAACATCATCATAGTGCGAATGTTGTCTCCGACATAGAACCTGAGGACAGCGGAGGGGCGAGGAGCAGGCAAGGACCGAGAGCAAACCGGTCGAGCACAAATCGACCGGAAGGAAAGGTAGTCATGGACCGGATCTCAGCAGGACGCGCGGGTGCTCAGATAAACATCCGGGGGACGAGGCAACGAGACTTCGTGATTCGAGTGCAGCCTCGCTCGAGGCGATGACATGTCGCCCCGATCTGCTGGCACTGCGTCATTGGCACACCGATACGAGACGTCATGCCAAACCGCTGCATTCGGCTCTTCCATTCGCGTGGAAGTTGGCAAATTCTATGCACTGGAAGTCAATGATGATGAATGATGCCCATTTGTCAACTCGCTGTCCCTGTACCTTTTGACGACGAACGTACGGAACTTGCATAATTCTAGTGTACCTCTTGCAGTACGGTACTATTTCCTGAAGCGGCAATCTCGCCCCCTTTCGGCAGTAGGCTCGGGTAGAGTAGAGTCCGGGGGTACCCAGAGCAGAAGCAGACAGGACGGGCAGACATGGGTGAAACTAAACGGGAGGTACCATGAGGGCCAGGCTCAATACATGATCGACAACAAGTCACATGATCAGCATGTTGGGCACTGAACTGCTTCATGTTGAGGTGGGAACCGATTGGATTTATCGAAATTTCGGCCAGCTTCTGCGGCCTTGGACTCTATATGGCGCTAACTTCCCTGAGATTGTATTGGTACCTTACAGGCAGAAGTGAAAGGATGTCAAATCAATTAGCTCTGTACAGACTTATGATTCTTCCAGAAGAACCATTCGAGGTATAGTCTTTGTTTTTCCTTGTGAATTAGACATAAATCTACGTGATTTTTCATGAAATTTCTGTCAGATTTTGACCTCAAGCTTATATATGAAGATAATTTTCTCTACAATCCTTCGATTTCTACTCTACTTCAGAAGTCTCGTTGAGATTAAGCTAAAAAATATTCTCAATTGGTATTACCGAATTTACTCACATTCATTACTTATGAGTATTACATATTTTTGAAGCACTCTACTCGTAAGATTCACTTCAAAGAACCCTTTGAAACATGGTTTTCAACAAAAAATGACACTCTATGTTTTAATTTGAACTCTAAATTAACTTTAGATCCTCGCGTGAATAACCTCAAAGGCCAAAGAAAAAAATAAAATTTTAAAAATTGATCTATATAAGACATATGAAGATTTTCAGACTCACTACCCAAATTAAAAAAATGAAACCAGTCTTCATTTAATTTCAAAGATACTTAAAATATTCAACAGAATATAACATCTTACATTTGATAAATTTTTTAAGGATCCCGGAAAGTGTTAGTCCCTTCCCTATGACCACATCGTAAACTTTACGGCAACCGTAGAGTGTACGACATAAATTGGACGGGTGCTACCCAAAACGTTACAAGGTTATATTGAAACACCCCAAAAGGAACCGGGCTCTAAGAACTGAGACTCGCGGAATTGGCAAGTGCCTCGTCATGCTGACGGAACTTTTACACGCTGGCCTTGTACGTGACTCTAACACGGCCAACCCACGTCAGGTGCCCCTTTGCACATAAAAAACTAATAAATAAACGAACCCCTTTTAGATATACGTTCAGTCGATCTTCGAACCCACAGGGATACTCAGAAATGTGACAACAGGATGGGATCAGTTGACCGAGAGGAACAAATTCGATCGAGAACAGTGTCGATTATTGAGAAAAGTTATAAAATACTGAATCCTACTTTTAAAATCCGGCTGACAATTGTCCAACTCAGCTCGTTACAATAGTAACTCGATTGGTGGGGTCGAGCTCCGTCTCGACCCCTGGGTTGTTTCCACGTACTTACTCACTCGAAGAGGCCTTCCAATCTATTCTGCTATATTACTCGGTTTTCGAAGCGTTGCATGGGCTTATTGGATGCCGGCTTGAATTCTTTCGACCGTCTCTCGTGAAATGAGTGGCTTGCAGTTTACTTAACTGACAAGTCTCAGTAGACGTATTCAGACATGGGTCATGCTGGCTTGGGGGCCTGGCGATGATCAGTAATGACAGCTGCTCTTTCCCGGCACGTGACTCTTCCCCGCCAGTCTTCATCCCCTTTGCGATTAGTGTCTCATCTCACGAATTTGAGACAAGCAAAATAGAGACAAGAAATGGACCGCAGAGTCCAAAAAAGGCAGGAATGGGTTTGAAGACAAGCAAAATTCAACAGAGTATTTCGCTATGAAATCATCTTCGAACCCCCATTGATTCAGATCTTTGATTGTAATTGGGTGAAAGCACGGGGAGTGTGTTTTAGTGGTACATACCCACGAAACATCCTGTGCTAATTGGAAATAATCGTTCATTTCCAATACTTACCTACCCGTCGATTTCAGTTCTCGACTCAAGAGTGGTAGCTTTGAATGGAAAGGAGCAATCAGAATTTATACGAGTAGTAAAGGATTTAAACAAAAATTCAATATACTGCCCCACGTTAGGCAAATTTGTTTCCGGGCGTCTTCATTTCATAGCTTCCTTCCACAGTCTGTTCGAACTGCCTCCTTTCCCTCCCGAGAACCCAATGCCCACAAATCCCAGAACTCAACAGCATAGTCACTTATTCTTGGTTTTAGTGACCTTGAAGTAAGCGCATCTAAAGCAAAGCTGCTCATTAGTTACTATTTAGCTTGCGTCCATCTGCAGCCTACGCGTGCAACTCAGAAACATGCTCTGAAAATAACCTGAACAAATTGGGGCAGTAGACTGTTCAATTGATCCTCAAGTTTCAAGTTTCTAGAAAATTCTAGAAATTGGAGTTCCTAGTACTTAGAGAAAATGATGCCACACTTCCTGAGAAGGTGCAGCAGTCACAATTCTCCTGTAGTCAGTAATTTTAGGATCGACTGCACTGCAGTCAACTCACGACACATGATCTATGTTTCCAGTTCGATGAGCTACCAGTTTGCTCATCAACCACGTCGGCGACTCAGTTCATACCACGTCGCAGTCCTGTATAGTCGATGTGGTTACGAGATCTGTTCTACTCTCGGGATCAAGCAAGCAAGGTAATTATAACATGCGTTCATAAATCCATCGACGACGGCTCGAGAAACC